TGTGTGTGTGTGTGTGTGTGTGTGTGTGTGTGTGTGTGTGTGTGTGTGTGTGTGTGTGTGAAAAGAGAGGACTGACAGCTTTTAATTGTCCCATATTGATCCAAAAACACATTAAACTCCTTTACAAAAGACACACACAATTGTTGGAAATCAAAACTTTCCTCCTCTTGTGTTTCTGCAGGAGTTACAGTCTGCTGCTTCCCAATCCGCAGAGGAATTCAAGCCCAGCAGCAGCATGAAAGGCTTGTCTCTGCGCTCCCAGCAGCGTGGCCCCTGCAGGCTCCCGGGGGCCGTGGGGCTCTGTGGCCTGGCTGTGCCGAGAGTCCGGTTGATGCAGCTGAGGTCCCTGCAAACTCATGAGCTGTGCAGCAGAAACAAGTGTTTTATTCTCATTAATCACATCTGCTGCAAGGAACTGAATCAAACTGTGATTTTTTTGTTAGTTTTTTAGTTGCATGAGTGTAAAGCTGCAGCAGGAAACTGTTTATTCCATTATTTATGTGTGTGTGTTGGGTGGGGGGTGCTGCATGATACCTAATTACATTTATTAAACCCAGTGTTGTATAAGGTACCTCACTTGAGTAAAAGTACAAGTATCTTATCACAGAAATACTTTGGTAAAAGTTAAAGTCTCTAAAAATATTACATGAGTAAAAGTCTTCAAGTATCTGAAATTTTTTGTACTTAAGTAAATTTCTGACRCAAAATCGACTTAAGTTTTAAAAGTAAAAGTACTGACTAAAAGTGAGCAGGTAGATTTTGCAAAATGACATTTATTGGGACTTCTCCAAAAAAAACTTTTTCTAAAGACGTGCATATGTGATGGGTTGTGTACAAGCTAATACTGTGTCAGAATGGTAAATATTTATACTTCTCATCCAACCACAATTAAATTCACTCTATGCAGGAGACACAATTTATCAGGATAGTATTTTTTTAAAGTAATAACAACTCTGAATAAAATAGGAGTAACGACTTTCTACTTATTACCTTTTTAAAAAATGTAGTGAGTAGAAAGTACAGATAATTGTGTAACAATGTAACGAGTAAAAGTAAAAAGTATGTTGAAAATAATTACTCAAGTACAGATAACCAAAATTTCTACTTAACTACAGCAACAAACTATTTGTACTTAGTTACTTTATAACTATATATATATATA